GACCGGCTAACATCAGCAAGCTTTCCACCCTCCACAATCGTCATCAGCCGTTCCTAGTAGCTCATACGTTAGCTCGCCATATCTCAACAACTTTGATCATAAGTTTGAGCAAGGTTGAGAGTGGTGCCGTGCTCGTAGACAGCAAGCTTCGAATCGTACATATGCCTCATCTTGATTGCCTCCAGCGCAAAGATAAAGGTTGTATGTTGTCTTTGCGGGCACGTAGGTATCGTTTCCAGAGAAATGCCATGACGCCTTGAGCTCATCGCCCCCTCTATAGAGCTCTCCGCCCTTGGGGTTTGTGAATCTGATGTCCGGGAACGCTAACGCCAGCGACGCTAGCAGCGACAGCAACAGCCAGCGAAGAGTCATTGAGAATGTCCTCTGCACGTTTGCAACGTTGAGCTAACGGTGCTTGTTCGGTGAAGCAAGAACTTGGATGGAAATCTGAAGTAACAAAAAGCGCGCAGTCCTTTAACCGTGCCTAACAGTTAATCCTTAGCTGCTGCGGCTATCCTGGCTTGAGGCTGACCGGCGAGCTATCTACTAACTACGAGGATGACGCGTTTCGGCAACGCGAAGAAGGGAACTTGTCGCACCGAACCAAGGAAGGTGCTCCTATTTTTGAGGCTTTCCACTTCTTTGCAATCAAAAGAAGATCAGTGCCATGGTACAGCGATATTAACCCCGGTTATGAGCACTTTCTACGGAGTAGATAAGTAGAAATGAAGATGAGGAAAAAAGAAAAAAAGAAAGACTGCGAAAAAGACTGACAAGGGTGGGGTTCGAACCCACGCACTCTTACGAGTAGCAGAGGTTTAAGTGATTAACTTAAATCTGCCGCCTTAGACCGCTCGGCCACCTTGCCTTTCAAATATGAAAAGCTCATTGCTAAGGCACATATTACTAATTGCTTAGCAAAGCAGACGCTTATCGGTTGCTTGACCAACCTACCTCGCTTCGACCAACCATGGTTCGCAGCTGTTTATGCCTTTACCGATCTCAATGACAGCTTCGTCGATCATGAACAGGTCATCCATCGATCTCCCAACCGGTATCTGCAGGTATGGCGCAGGGTGGTACAGGGCAGCGTATGCTATGCGCCACTACGACGGATAGCGACAGTACACTTCGATTCCACTCTCTTCACTACTGTGGGAGAAGAGTTATATAATCAAAAGCTCGTCGCTCGCTTTCGCGCAGTTATCTATTGACTCTGGTATATCTTTACACCGTTCATGTTGCCTTTATTATCATTATAGCGATGGAGACTTTACTGGCGCACTCCTTCGACTACCTCTCATCTTATGACTTGAGCAAGATTCGCAAGGGCCTTCGGCAGGTCGAAGGTCTGATGGCCCAGATATGCCTGTCCTCGGATATGCGAGGCTCAGAGAGAAATCGCGCGCGATCTTCTGCCCGGCCAGCAGAGGCAAAGCCAGCAAAGGCGCTGGGTGAGCTGAAGGAGGATCCGGCATTCCTGGAGTTCTTCAAGCTGCAAGACTCCTTCCAGTGGAATGGTACGTGTTCCCATGCCCAGCCACCGAAAAGATGTTTCTTGAGTGTACTCCGCACCCAGAGACATGCATCATGCAAGCTGCAGGTTCGACGGTTGCTAACATCGAACAGTTACCATGCGACTTGTTGCCTGCCTTGAACGTCTTCTTGCTCTGGAGGATGCAGCGGCAGATTCTATCATCATTCAATGCCTCAATCTTGTCCAGGGTTCTCTTCTTTTGCACCCTGCCTCTCGACGCTTGTTTGCTCGAGAAAGCTACATCAATGTGCTGCTGGATCTGTTGGACCCAGATATGGGTCCTGCCATTCAGTCCGCTACTGTGCTCACATTAGTCACAGCCTTGCTGGGGAACCCAGCAAACACACGCACGTTTGAGGAACTGGACGGCCTTCTGACCGTCACATCTCTCTTTAAGAGCAGGTACACCTCCAAGGAAGTGAAGTTAAAGATTGTCGAATTCTTGTACTTTTACCTCATGCCCGAGGCAAATGGGGCCTTTTCAGGGGCTGGCTCCGACAGATCGAATGGGTCTGGTGGCTCCAAAGGAAGTGGGGGCAGCGGTGGTGCAAGGAGGGTTGGCGCGGACCGAAAAGCGTCGAGCTGGGGCAGAGCGTACAGCGCGCTCAGTGGTTGCGATG